GGAACAACTCAACCACTAATTAACATCTGTAAAATAATAAGTGTATCATATAGCATATGAATTAATCGAAACTATAATATAAACTACAACGTTGATCATCAAGTGGCTCGTCACGGCTAACATTATTATACGCATATATATATATATATATGAAAAAAATTTAAATTACAAACAAATTAATTACAACTTAATACACAAGCAACTATACTTATGGAAACCATATAATCTAAAACGTGTGTGTATATATACATATATATATATATATATATACACACACATACATAATTTTACTTTCTCCTAGGCAGTGGAGGAAGATTCATAAGGCAAAACCATCCCTGTCAATCCAAAAAGGTTCCAAAGAGGTTGGCATCATAGGCAGCATTGTCATTCAATCAGAGAATATGCTTGCTCTTGTATTTGTCTCAAGCCTAAGAAAAACAACAAATGTCAAATGTGGACATGAACTTTCTAGGAAGCTTCCTCCAAACTATAACACGTCACTGTGTGTATATCATTTGTTGTTCAGTGGATTGCTTGTGTTTGGACCGCATATCCTTTTGAATGGACATTACATAACCATCCCATGTGCCACTATCTTCTTTTATTGGATTTTCCATTTCGATCCTTTTTCTAATTACTCTTTTTTTTTTTCTTTTCTTTTCCTTTTTTCCCAAAAAATAAAAATAAAAATAAAAATAAAAATAAAAATTAGCAAGCTAAAAAATGGATTAAATTTTATGATATAATTTTCTTTTCTTAAAAAAAAACAATGATATAAAACCTAAATCACATAAAGTAAGAACGAGAGCGAATTTGAGAACGAGAGCGTGAGAGCGACAAAATTATGTCATAAATAGTGAGAATTTGAGCAACAATGCGTGCGAAGCGTGAGAGCAGAAACGTGCTCAGAGTGTAAGAGAGCGAAAACGTGCTCAGAGTGTAAAAGCAACATCTATTAAGAAAGATTGTGCGACTTAACAAAAAACAGTTTAAAACACACGCGCGCCCGCGTGTTATTGACTATTTTCTTAATATTTTTTTGTTTCACTATTATTTTTTATTTTAGGAGGTTTGTTATTTTATGACAATATATAGTTGTTGCCTAAAGTTTTATCTATATTTTATATTGGCTATTGCACTTAATTTGTCATTGTATACATTCGCATCGATTAATCTAGTTTCACACCAGCTAATAATATTTAGGAGTTGGGACCAATTTGATTCTGTTTTCTAAGAATTTGTTAATTTCTAATAATTAGGTAACAAAATAAAAAAAAAATAAAGAGTTTGCAAATTGTGAGTCTTTTATAAAAACTAATATCTTTTTGTTATAAGGAAGTCAAAAATATTCAAATTTTAGATATCATTCTTCTTCTATTTTAACATTTTTTTTTTTTTTTTTTTTTTTTTTCTCTCTGTTTTCAAAATTTTTATTAGAAAACCGATTCAAATAGGATTTTATTTTCTATCCATGAACTTCACATCAACTTAAAAAAGTATATATCTCTTAATTAACTCACCTTTTTCAAGTCTTTATACCACTTCTATGGAAATTTTTGAAAAGTTAGTGCATGTGAAATGAGGAATTATATGTTCGATGGTGGATTATATCAAGAAAAAAATATGTGTGTGTCTAGTATGACTCAAAACATGCCCACCACATCTATTTTAATTTAACATATCTTCTTCTTCCTTTATTTATTCATTAATTTATTTGTATTAATGTCTTTTTAATTATAAGATCAAGGAATAGTAGCATTGACAGGTATTCGAGAGATAAGTTTTTGAGATTTCGCTTTTGAACCGTACTTTTGACTTAGATGATGCCTGTGTTATGGGCCGAAATACGTGCTTAAAAAAAATAAATAAATAAATAAAAGCTGTGTTATTACTAGGGGTGGGCACGATTCAATAATCGAATTATGGACATATGTAATCTAATCCGATCTTAATAGATTGGAGAAATCTGAAACCGAGCTTATAATAATCAATCTAAACCAATCCGATCCGTGACATATCGGATTGGTTAGGTCTTACGACTGGGCTTTTTCAATTGGACCAATTTTTTATTTCTTAACCTGTGACCCAATTTAACACATCAACCCGTACACAGCAATTACACTGAAGTACTGAAGAAAGAAAGCAATCTGAATTAAAATATTCAAAACTACATTCAAATCAACATCATCAACATGATTACATGAACCAGTATATAAAATTACGTAGTCAAACATAAAATATCAAAAAATGAACAAAACAGTAGCTGACTCATTGTTATGCTGGAGAAAATAAGTTACTAAAACAATAAAAGTTTACTAAATTTATAGTAATACACTAATGGTTGTGTGTATATATATATATATATAATATAATATATAAGCAGATCGAATCGGAATAGTTAACGGATCGGATCAAAATTTTCAGGCCCTAATCAATTAATCAATCCGTTTAATACGAATTAATAATGAATCAATCTATCACCGAATTATTAGATTAAAAAATAAATCCGATCCATACGAATTGAATCGGATCAAATCAATTTCACGAAATGACGGATAAAATGCCCACCCGTAATTATTACAAAGAATCATAAACAGTGTGGATTCCTAACACGTAGGATTATATATCACAGGTTCTATATCACTTCATTTGATGGTGGTTGGGATATTTTCTCTTCCTAACAGTGACACATGGACTTATCTGTATAATGTACGTATATACAAACTAATATGAGAATGTGGAACTTAATTAATGCACACTCTGTGTAGGTAACTAACTATATATGGAATAATGCCTCCCTTTTCCATATTCAAGATGTTCTGATAAGCACTCATTCATTGTATTACCCTTTTGTGTCTCATATATTTAATATATATATATATATATATATAATCGACAATATTAGTGTCCGGTCTCTTAATCCATTTCATAATTTACGACCAAAGAGTTAAATTTTTTTGATTTTCATACATAAGATAATTAACAAAAAAAGAATTCGGTTTCAAGAGAATTGAAACTCCCAAGAAATTTCCTTAGAGGGCAGTTTCAAGAGAATTGAAATTCCATTTATTTACTATGCTCATATACATACATAAATAATATACCTCCCCACCCGAATGGGATAAGTTACTGACTTACTGTAGGGACAGTAGAGGCTAGCCACAAAGAAAAGCCAAATAAATGATACTAATTAATATTATATATACATACATAAATAATATATTTAATACTATATACACATACAAAAATAATATATTTAATACTATATACACATATTAGTATATTCTTAGGATAGTCACTCTCCTGTCAGACCTTTTAGTATATCTCTTAATTCACTACCGAAGACATACAATTATCTTATTCATACAATTATCTTATTCACATGCATCAACTAATTACTAAGAAATTTCTTTTTCAACAAATTCATTTATTGAAAAAGAATATATAAAAATAACTTTTTCTTGGTGATTACGCAAAGTCTCAGCCTTCAATTTAAATTAAAGAGAAAATACCATTTGAGCGAAGTTGTTAGTAATTACATTGTAATGGACTTAAAAAAAAAAAAAATTTGCTCCATCGAAGTCAAACACTAAACCTCACTTTGAACGAAACTCACAAGTCATATAATAATGTAGCAATAAAAATACAAAAAATAAAATCGCTAAGACTACTATATAATTAAATTCAATTCCCTCCAAACAACACAATTTTTAGATTAAAAAAAAAAGCCTCATTGTTTTAAACTACATAAGCAGGGGAGGCTATACTGGGGACTATACATATGTAAGATGGATAATGGGTATGACTTTTTGAATGAAAATAGATATTTCTTAGCAATTTCTTATATATATAAATATTATATATATAATATATATATGTAATGTTATCTGCACAACATATGTACTAGTTTATACTCTATTCTTTGTTTTGTTTTTTTTAAAAAAAAGACTCTATTAAATAGCAATAAAAGGAACGGTTGACCGGGTCAATCGGTACTTGACTTAGCCTTAATCACGTACTCTAAAAATAAAATTAAATGACAGTAATTACCCATATCCCCATATTGTTAATGAGTAAGCAATGGAGGCTATATTGGGAAATATATTGAAAATAATTTAATGTTAACAATCACCAACCACGATTTATGTGGCGGAGTGATGACCAGAAGAAACGGTTCCATGTAATATGTTTACAAATTTAATTGTCAAAAAAAGCAAGGGAGTGGTGGAAGGTTTTAATCAATTCCATAGATCACAGGGCGGCGGGATTCAAAATTTCATAAATTTCTACCCGTCCCGCCACCTCGTGAGGAGTAAGACTCGAATCAAACCACCGTGATTATCGAAAGACGATGACAATCAACTTAACGTGACACAATCCTTACAAAAATCAAGGTATCAATGCATACAAAATATGATAACGAAATAATTATGCACGATACATTATCATTCACAAAGATTAAAATTTGAACTCATGCCTTTGGGTAAAGAATTGACAAATTATACAAAACACATTATAATCGCATATTTTTATGAAAAAAATATTTTGAATAAGAAAAAGTGAAACTTAACGTTATTGTAATGTTGCTTGGTTGTGATCTGTGATTTATCCATACTAGCACTTGTCTTTGTTTATTTTGGATAAGAATTATTAACGTCATCCAATGATAGTAGGCTCTAACCAAGATTTCACATCAGGTGATTTAAAATTTTATCTTGGTAATTTGTAACCTTAGTAAATGACAAATTTTTAAAATTATGTGCTGCTAACCCCCTCGCACAAGTATACACATTCCCTTACTTAAAGCCGTTGGATCAAAGAATTTCGACAAAAATCATGATTATTACTCCATCCAACGGCTTACAAGGAACGCTTACGTATACAAATGTAGGTGAACTAGTATTGTAGATTCTCTATTTTTTAAATTATGGTCTGGAATTTAATTGTTAATTTTTTTTTGTTCTTTTATAAATTTGGGAATTTGAGGGGTTGAGGTTTAATCTGAGTCACTCTTCCATTCCTTTCCTTTCCTCTAAAAATTTCATTTCCTCTCTCCAATATTTGGAATTCCACCGGGAAAGGGAGGGAGAGGAAAAGAGAAAAACATTTCTCTGTTGAAATTGCGAGAAAACAGCAAACGGCTATAATTGACGTTTCTGAGTTCTCGCAACGAAGATTAATCCTCAAAGATCGTTGCTTTTTCGGTCACAGTTTCACTGTTGTTCTTCTCGATTTGAGGTTTGATCTGGGTTTCTAATGATCTGAATTTACAGATTGATATATATACGCGGAGAAGAAGAGAGAGTTCTAGAGAGAGGGACAGAGTGTGTTCTAGAGAGAGAGAAGGGGGCCTGAGTCCGCATTATTGGGGTCTCTGTGTTCGTTGGGTGCTCACGATGTCTGATGGGTATTACAGTTCGAAGAAGTCTGATGATATCTGTGAAGAGGTTTGTGGCCAGGTATATATTTCCTTCTTCTAAAATTTATAAATTTTTCATTTTTTGAGTTAGTGTATTATCGTTGTTGTTTGTTTTTCTTAAATTTTGTGTTTGATTTTGAGTTATGAGAAATGGGTTGGTTTGATTTCGCTTTCTAATGGATTTAGCACAAACGTGTTTACTTTTGTTGCCCAAGTCGTCGCTTTTTTGGCCTGGATTGATTCGTGCTAATATTCATACATACATACATAAGTGCATACAAGTGTGTGTAAGTGTGTGTGGGTGTAAGTGCATACATGTGTGTATGTATATATGTGTGTGTTTGTTTATGTAAACGTCAGAACGTTTGCATCGGTTTTCCCTTCTTAAAATTTGATTCGGAATTCGTTTTGAGCCAATGAATTGATTATTATTTTATAATTTTGTATATTTTAAGTTTCCAACACTCCCACCTTTTTTGTTTCCTTTTTGATGTTTGAGGGCGATTTGTTTGAGGTCAATATAGAAATGTAAGGTTTTGGGGTTTATTTTGTGTATTAAATTATTTGTAATTAAAAATTTAAACTTATTGCAGTGTCTTCACAATTTTATTATGATTATTAAGGTTTCATGCTTCAAGGTGAACTGGGGATTTGGGGCTTTTGGTTTTCGGACATTTGGTTAATATTTGCAGTAATTTAATTCTTAATGGTTATGAATGCTTTGCTTTAAATTGATGCTCTGGAATATGCAAAGCCGGGGTTGTTGTGCTTTATCATGTCAAGTTCCAATTTTTATTTTGAACTTGTGTTGCGTTGGTAGTTCTTTGATTTAGACAGTTCGGGCACCTTAGAATGTTTTTGGTCTTAATTTCAGCAGGAAACCAGCGTGGCATTGAGCATGTCGAGACTTCGTTGCATGCTGCGAGGGATGGATTTAAAGGCCTATATATTTTTGTTTTTGATTGTGCCAACAGGCATAGTTGGCATATATTTTCATGGGCAGAAAATCACTTACTTCCTACGGCCACTGTGGGAATCTCCTCCGAGGTCCTTCATTGACATACCACACTATTATCACCCGAATGTGTCAATGGAGACTCTTTGCAAACTTCATGGTTGGGGAATTCGTGAATATCCCAGACGAGTCTTTGATGCAGTTCTTTTCAATAATGAAGTAGACATTCTTAAAATCCGATGGAATGAATTGTATCCTTACATAACACAATTTGTTCTTCTTGAATCAAACTCTACATTTACTGGCTTGCCCAAGCGGTTCTATTTTTCAATCAATAGGGACCAGTTCAAATTTATTGAGCGCCGGCTAACTTATGGAACGATTGGAGGGAGATTTCGGACAGGTGAAAACCCTTTTGTTGAAGAAGCATATCAGAGAGTAGCACTGGACCAGCTACTCAAAATTGCAGGCATAGAGGATGATGATTTATTGATAATGTCTGATGTGGACGAGATTCCCAGCAGTCACACAATCAATCTGTTGAGGTGGTGTGATGACATCCCTCCTGTCCTTCACCTTCAACTGAAAAACTACTTGTACTCATTTGAGTTTCTTTGGGATCATAGGAGTTGGAGAGCATCGGTCCATAGGTATCAGAAGGGTAAGACTAGGTATGCACACTATCGACAAACTGATTACCTTTTGGCAGACGCTGGTTGGCATTGTAGCTTTTGCTTCCGCCATATCAGTGAGTTTATATTCAAGATGAAAGCCTACAGCCATTATGATCGAGTGAGGTTCTCTCATTACCTGAAGCCCGAGAGAATTCAAGATGTAATCTGCAAAGGGGCTGATCTGTATGACATGCTTCCGGAGGAGTACACATTTAAGGAGATCATTGGGAAGATGGGGCCTCTCCCTCATTCTTATTCAGCCGTTCATCTTCCTGCATATTTGTTGAATAATGCTGATGAATACAAGTATCTTTTGCCCGGAAACTGCAGAAGACAAAGTGGCTGAGTTCTTAAGAAACATTGGCGCACCTTAGTTTATTGGAGGTGCAGATTTTGTGTTGCATCTTAGAGAGCTCTACCGGATTATTGATGACCGTGGTGGTGTGACACAAACAAATATACCTTACATCCAAAAAGATCTAGGTTAGTCTCGGATGCCGGGAAAACATGGTTGGTTCTTGGATTAGTGAGGTACACATTGTATATTTTCCTTTTTTTTTTTATATTTGGTTTCATCCGGGATGAAGGCATATCCATTGCCAACTGGGGGGAATGACTTGGTGATGGGTTGACAGGAATTTTGTATGACATGATCCCCCAGATCTTGAAAAATTAGAATGACATGTTACAAAGGCTTTCTTAGCTGGGAATTCTGTCTCTTTTTTATTTTCTTCCCTTTTCTCCCCCAAGAAACTAAAATTTTCGGTATATTCTTAGAACTTGTGTGTTTATTAACTCCATTTGTACCATCTGAGTGCTGTGGATTTTCACAGCTGCATAGAATTGGAGAATTGGAATTAGTGGAATTTGAGAAAATTTTGATTCAATTTTCTTAAATTATTTTTCTCAAATTTTGTCAATTCCAATTTCAAGGCTCCAATTCCATGCATGATGCAACCAAACACACCTTATTACTGATTTTATTCTTCTCCATGGCATTGCAGATCATAACATTGTTGTTTCAAAGTAGACATTCCTAGTTTTTTCATTTTTATTTCTACTTTTATATATAGAGGATCCTTTCAGTTTCTAAGAATTTTGATTCTTGAGCATTGTGAACTCGTGGAAGTTGGAATTTGGGGAGTTACTCAACTATTATTCCTCAACTAATGAATGGTTGGAACTTCTTTTTTTGTTTGTTTGGATAAATATGAATGGTTGGAACTGAGAATTTAAATTCCCTGATTCATGTGATTTTTGATTAGCCACATATATTTGGTGCCAAGTAATTCTACAAAAAAATGTTTGGTTATTTATTTATTTTTTTTTTATATCTTTTTTTCAACTCCAAACTCTTGTCAGCATTTAAAAAGAATAGAATCTCTCTTCCAGTGTCAAGTTTTTCATTTCCCTTTGGTACCTGAGTCTTCAACAGACGATTGAACCTTTTGCACTGCTGAAGAAAATTGATCATGCATAAAGATTCTGAGATTCTGACACCAGTCATACTCTTCCTCTGTTCAATTGGAATATATTCTAACCGATTTTTCAAACCATGTTGTGTAGTCGAGAGAATTTTTTATTCCTTTGATGCAGTGGATGAAATCAACACGAGACTTCATCAAATGCATAAAATTAGTTTGATTACACTTCTTGACTTAAAAAATAGGTCTAGATAACACTACCTTGATGCCAATGTGAATAACAAACATTGAATAAGAGTGTAGGAGTGACGGTTGAGAAAGTGAGTTACCTTTTATGGTTGAAGAGGTACATGAAATTTAGGGGTCAATATGGCAAAATGTGGCTGGGCTTTGTGTGCACCTTGCTATCACAGTGCCCCACCACCCACTTTAACCCTAGAAAGTATAACCAATAATAAAATAGATTCTTCACTAAAGCTTTTTTTTTTTTTTTCTTCAATGGTTGGTGGTATCATGTGGCTTAAAGCTTTCATTTCTTTTAAATTGATAGACAAAAATGTCTCTTAATATAAATTTAAGAAAGATTTTCATTTTAGGTTCTTGCTCCTTTTTTATTTTTTAAAATTTGAACTAAGAGAATTTGAAATTTTCACACTATTAAAGTGATGATATAATGACCATAATTTCCCTTGATATAAATTTTCTTTATATCTACATTAAAATGATTTTCATTTTCATTTTTGGTTTTCTTTTCCTTTTTATGTTTAAAAAATAAATTATTAAGAAACTTATTTCAAAGTATTTTTATTTTTCTATAGACGAACCATTTAAAAAAAAATAAAGATGAACAATATAAAGATTGAGGTTAGACATTACTTAAGTTACAAAATATTTTAATTTTCACACTAAATTGTTATTGATGAATTTCTAGACTCCGCACATTAATTTTTTATAGGTAGATGGATATGCATCTCTTACCGAGAACGTATACTCAAATCAAATCTTGTCCGGTACATGTGAAATTTAAAATTACATATGTCCGAAATTTTATATATATATATTGTAAACGAAACTCGTATAAAGAAACCAACTGCTCATTATGCTCATACAAATCTATCTCCATTTGCTACACCAAATTTCACCTACACAAGCTAAACCTTTACTATATAACATCTTTCTCAAAAGATTTATCCATCTCTCATCACTATGGACCCAAACTCAAACCTATCATTCTTTTAGGTGGACAACTCTGGTACTCAACTGAGTCAACTCATCTTTCATATTTAACATAATATAAAAATGTGAAAGGAAAAAATAAGAGAAATTATATAATAAAAAAATGAATTTAACGTATAATAATAATGGAATAAAATGAAAATAATGGATTAAACTTAAAGACGTTTTAATTAATTTAATTTTTTTCTTTTATAACGGATAGGATTAAGAAATGGGGATGTGATGTGTCATTTCACCGTTCTGTAAGATGGGATATTTCTTATTCATGGGTGGCTAAATAAGTAAGTATTGTTTTAATACGAGAAAAAAAAAACAGAAATAACTATTTTTATATTTCCTAAATGAAATAGGATTAGAATACTACGATTCATAGGAAATGTGGACCTAATTTTCAAATTCAATAACATTACTTTTTATAGATAATTTGCTGCCAAATGTTAGGGTTGACCTGTGTCATCGTACACCGTACACGTGGAATTGACCTACTGATTGTGACGATAAGTCGCGCTCAAAAACCATAAAAGGTCCTCTAATCATGATATCTACAGACTAATGGTTTTAACGTTTACTCAAAAGTCTTTGTGGGACCACTTTATGGGACTAATCACACTTGCTCAGGTAAGAAATTTTTTTTTTTTTGGAAAATTATTTATTTTTTAGATAAAATATTATTAACTAAAAATTTTATTTTTCATGATTCGACAAAAATTTAAGTCAAGGTTGGAGTCATGTTCATCTGTCAAGTGTATAAAATTATTTGTCAAAAATTGATAGATAAATTATTTTTGTTAAATTTTAATATATCTTTTCTTCTACAATAACCAAAGTAAAAATATTTTTCTTCTACAATATATATATTTGTAAATATTTTACAATAATCAAATATCAAAAAACATATATATTTTCTAAAAAACATTTTACATTCAAACAAACCAACCAAGCCTTACGTATGTCCACGGCCCAGTACCACAGTTTTGAGGCCAACTCCTTAAGGCCCTGTTAGAAGTTAGGGCCTCGAATAAAGTTGTAGAAGTCCAATTGTGTTTTACTCAGCTTTTGAAAACAAAAACAGTTTTCAGAAAGTAAAATTGAGGGCTTTTCCCCTAATGCTATTTTAAGAAAACAGTTTATGAAAATAATTTTCAACCTAATTTCTGGTTTTTGTTTTAAACAAACCTGTTCTTAAAAAGAACCATACCAAACATGCCCCAATCACTACACATGCTTAGAGTAGCTGAATTTGCATGCATCTTTTAAAGTTATCCTACAAGTCAATCGTATGAGCGCGGATCCTCAGATGTAGCCTTGGTGTTATAGTCGTTTTTCAACGTATATATTTTCAATAGACATTATTTCATGTTTCAAGACATTTTTTATGTTAAAAACATATGCAAATGCGTTGAAATACGCAACAACACTAGAACGCTACATCGGAAGATCCAGGCTCCAATCCTATATACGAAAAATAGAACAAATTTATAAATGCCAAGAAAAAGAATAGCCATTCCAAATGCAACATCACACACAAAGGAATGATTTGTGTTTTCCAGAGCTGTTCAATATCATTTAAATTCTATGACATATGACTCTATCCTATTGAGCACAGGTACATCTCCACCAAATAGACTAAATCATCACTATATTTAGAATCCCTTTTCTCATTGAAAAATGCTTTCCAGAAATTACCTTCTCCGACTCAATGCAACTAAGCTAATCACTATCCCAAGTTTCATCCACCTGTTTGGGCGATTTCACTTTCGATCCATTCCTCTCGTTCTTCGTTGGATAATCTTCGCCTTTACTGTTACTCCTGTAATCGTTACTGTCTAGTCCTGTTCTTCTCAAATCAAGTTTTTCTTCGGTGTCTGATTCCCACTTTTGAGTTTCTGAGCCACTATCTTCTGCAGACATCTTAGCTTCACCATGTCTTTGGAAACCTCCATCATATCTCTCTCTTGGAATCTTATTTTGTTCTCTCCTCCCCAATTTAGAAGCCTTGAATGCATTACCACCAGCCTCACCGAAGTCATCAGCATCGCTGTCAAGATCATTCACCCTATTCACCACATCCTTCTCATCTCTACTCATGTGATGAAAATCATCCTCATCACTGCTGCTTCTATAATTATTATTCACTGTTCTTGATTCTCTCGAGTCGTGTTCCTCGTCATCTGATTCCCAAATGGCATCTTCCAAATCACTCAATGTATCTTCTGGCAGCGAATCTTCTTTAGCCATGTTTCCCTTGAAATGGTCTTCAACATTTCTCTTGGAACCTCCGTTATTATTAGCTCTGCCAATCTTTTCCTTCTGCCACCTTTCTACTTTAGGTACATAGCGTTTCCCACGAGCTTCATCAGAATAATCAGCATCACTTGCATCTCCCACATCATTGGACTCACCATCATCCTCAGAAATATTGTCATCTTCATCATCCTCACTATCATTAACCCTCCGCCTGCTTTGTGTATCCTTCCAGCCTCTTGGCCCTCCGCCTCTTGGCCCTCCTCTAAACTCATTATCCGAGTCTTCACTTCGACCCATTTCAGATCTTCTGAACCTCCCACCTAAATCTTCTCTGTTCCTATATCTAATTTGACTGAATTCTTCTTTCTCTGCTTCTTCCTCAGCAGCCCATTCCTTGTCAGCTGCATCCTCTATCTCAGCTATGAATTTGTCAAGCTCCTCCTGGTCACTGTCATCAGCAGGTTCTGAATGATGTAATCTACCACTGGGCTCCGCTGATGTTGATTTGTCTTCCACGAAGACATAAGGGCTTTCACCCTTTTTGTCAATTGCATTGAAGAATGTGGAAGCAACTCTCTGGATGCTGGCCATGGCAACTGGATCTTCAGGATTTACACCCATTCGTCGGAGCTCCTGCTCTAGTTTCTTAATATTCAGCTTTTGAGAATCAAGTGCTTGTTCAAATCTGGCTTTGAATAATGCCTGAAATTTGTAAATGACAACGGTCATATAATTTGAAGTTTGGAACATCTGCAAATGCAGTGGTATTTAATCCACGCATTATATGATTTTTGTCAGTATCAATAGTATTTTGTAGGTAACAGACTGGAGACAAGAAGCTACAATTTGAAGAAGTCCTGATTATGCAGTAGTGCAAAATAGGGGATAAAATTCTCTACTTGCCACGTGTTCCAGCATCAGTAAAACACCCTAAATAACTACTAAACGGAAAACCTTGAATGGGACTGGGGAAAAGAAGATATTTTATACACACTGGCCTGGAGAATCTGTCTAGTTTTGACTACCTTTTTAGGCTTTCTAGGACCCTGCTTATGAAAAACATCACTGCATAACCCTGAGGTAAAAGTGTCTGTATTTGTGCTACTGGAGTGGGTAGTAGAATGCAAGCTAGCAAGGAAACATGGCCTTAAACAAGCTACTAGTTTTGTATCTTCGATTTAGCGGAATAAAGATTTAGTATGCTTAGGCTTATATATTTTCAAGTAATGCAATCCGAGTAAAATAAAGGTATGAGATGCTCCCTCACCAAAGGTGGATGAGGCTAGGAGCCATACTTCTTAGTGGAAATGGACTTGGAACAAGAAGCTCTTTCTATCCTAGTTAATTAAGGAAATACTCAAATTGACAATAGCAAATGAGTAAGTACTAAAAAAAATTAAAAAAAATCAATTGAGTCCCTTGAGATGAGGAAATTGGAAATTCCTTTGATACAGTAAGAAACTACAGTGCATAACGAGGTATTACTTTACATCTTCTCACAAAAGGGAATCAACATCCCATATTTCTCCACGGAGACATCTCCTATTTTCTCCTAGCCAAGATGAAGCAAGTGATGGCAGGAGTAGCAGCCACAAGTGCAAAGTGAAACCAAAAAACAAAGTTCCTTAAAAACTATTTGGTAGTCTCATTTCAAGAGCCAAAGAAGCCATCTGCAACTAATAAAGAAACTTCCAAAGACCAATTAGCAGCAATGAGGCATGGAAATACAACAATACAGTGTGTTACACTCACCTATGAAGCATGGAATATCTTACAAAGCAGACTAAAACCTAGCAAGCAAATACTGCCCTCATATAGTCTATCAGGTTTTGATCAAATGGATTTTATGTGATAAAATGTTTTGTATGTTCAGAAAAACACCTGCATATAATATATAAAGTAAAACAAAGAAGGGAGAAGATGATCTTTATCTACCTTCCTCTTTGTAAGGGTGTTGAGAGGAATCAAGTTTTTTGGTTGTCTATAATTCCTTCCACGGAACATGATAATGGTTTTCACATTATGTACGTTGATCACAATGCCACCACTCAATCTTGCAAGCATGGTTGCCATCTCCTTAATTTTTTCCTTCGGAAAGTTATCACAACAAACTTGCACAGTCTCATGGAACTTCCAGTGGAGGTGCATATTTTGGACAACTCCTCCAAAGACACCACGGACACCAACAGGGACATAATTTTTATTTCTGAAGCCAATCTTTCTATATGCCTGTAGCTGCTCAGGGGTCAAAAGCTCAGGATCATGCCGTGAAGGTGGAAGCTCTGGTAGCTCATATTTTTTCAGCTTCTGCAGAAGCAATGCTACTTTTTTTTTGGCCTGCTCAGGAAAGAAATGATACATTATATTAGTTAAGTTGGTATATGTTAATAGACAAGAAAATGATGAAATACAGAGAGAAAAGTATCTATACTCATTGATTATTGCTACAAGCCTACAAGATAATTAAAGTAATATTAATGATAACTGCAAATCTATATAGAGATAAGATTGACGTTTTCACAGCCACCAAGTTACAGCAACAATAGATACATAAGAGAGGTAAAAAGAAAACCTGGACTAATAATTGAGGTTTGAACAGGAGAAAAATTCAATCGGGAAGACATACAATCCTTAAATCAGTAAAAAGTGAGTTGTTTCCAGCTGATGCTTCATAGTATCAGCATGTGAAACAAAACAGCAGCACCTTATGGAATTCATCATTGCTCATTACTGCACTAAACTGCCGTTTGGATTTCGTGATTTGGGAAAGGAAAGGAAGGGAGAGAGGGGATAGTGCTGCATGCTACACCCTGTGTATTAAAAGATGAAAAGGAAGGGATTTGAACCGAAAGGGGAGATTGTCATCCCTCATGCTGCAATTACTTTCCTCTTAGAAGTGGGAGAAACCGAAGTGAAAGCAGAGGGAGTTAGTGATCTACAGTTTCACCTCCTTTCCCATAGCAAGTAATTTATTGTTCTGCCGCTTATCACATGAAAAAATAAAAAAATGAATCATTTATTTTCTTCCTTCTATCTTTCCCAAACAAGACGAGAGGCTACTGCTTTCTTTTCTCTCCATAGTTGCCGAAACAAGAGGAGTGATTATCACTATCAATTCCTTTCCACTCATCATCACCATCCTTGTCTTTCTCCCATATGAATGGGGTCGACCACATGAATTCTTTTTTTTCCATTATATTCTACTATACACCATGTCTCCTCCATCTACTATTTTCAATTCATTTTTAATTACTCCATTCCCTGTTAGTTTTGGCTGGCCTTGCTATCTCTTATCTTCTATGCAAACTAATCTTCCTTTTCTTATGGACGCACCAATTGGTCTACAAATTCATTCTCTCTTAACTAATAATTCATTTTCTTTCGTGTCCTTTCCCTCCTAGGTATCCAAATGGGCTGTACTACTTTTCCTCAATGATATAGCTATTGAACCCCATATCCTAGATTCTTTTGGAACATAATCATGAGACAGCTATACTACGTTAGACAAGGAGATCTTTCCTAACATAGGGGATGTGCAGGTCACATCTTGGACTTGGAACATGAATTTAAACAGAAATAACCATAAGCTTATCTACAGTTCTACACCACCAACTTGGTCACCAAGGCTCATGGCAGGCCCCTCTTCTCCTGCCAACTAATCTAATATCTCTTCATAGAGATGTCAGATTGTGAAGCAATAGTAAAATATGTGAAATTTTGACGAATCATAAAGTTGATGCCAAATAATTAGGATTAAGGCTTCAAACCGTGGCATGGTTTCGGAAACCTTCATAGCAATCAGACAAGAAAAAAAAACTAGAACTTGATGCCTTCCACGATAACAACAGAAGCAGCAATTAGTTCTAGACTTCTAGATGACCAATGAGGTAAGAACCGACATGTGGTTTGTGAAAGATAATGGCCTTAATTTCCATATCTTCTCATACGAGCAGAATGACAAAGATGAAAGCACTGGTCCTCAACCAACTTAGTCCCTCAGAATGCATCACCCACCTATTTTTTGGGCTATCAGAACTGCCTGTTCAGTGATAAACTCAATTTGATAAGACATTTTATACTGACAAATTGACAATAAACCCTAGGAATTCTCTTAATAAATTAGAATGACAAAGATTTTTGGGAATCCAATATTCTTTTATATGTTTCTACAATCTACTAAGGTACAGGCAATATTATAAATACCGGCATTCCCAGTCACTTCTAGAACAGTTGAGGCATCTCTCATATGTATTATCAGGAAGCGTAATCTGGCTGATCAAAATCAAAATTGGACCATTTATCCATGTGGTGTACTGCACAAAAAGTGTCATCAGAATACATACACAAGTATGATACTGTGTTTGAGAGAGATGTGATGTGAATTTACAGAGTTCTAGAATTCCAATTAATTAATTAATTTCTTTTATTTTTTCTTTTATATATTTTCTGTTGTGATAGGATAGACATGAGAACATTTTAAGAACCATGAGAGAGTGAAGATACAACAATACACAAAGACAGCAACTCATCAGTTCCTCACCCTGGCCCTCCCCCCTCCCTTCATTGTGCTCTCCCTACATGTTACACTTTTTTAATAGTTTATATTGATAATTTGACTAAAATATGTTTTTCTTCACAATCATACTTTCTTTCCAATCAAACAAAAACTGTGTTCTGAAACCAGAGGTTTACACTTTCCCAGAAGTGTCTGACAATGTTAGCCATATATATGAATCACAATTCATGGACACCAACACATCTCCAAAGTGTGTCCGATTCCCAAAACGTAAGTATACTACATCACATATCTGACACACACAAAAGATATCTTTATATTACTGAAAACAACTTGTGTACTCGGAACCAATAGTTCAAGGAAGTGAAAGCCTTGGAATGCGAGGTTTGGAACACACAAGAAGTATAAGTGCAAGGAAGTGAAAGCCCCTGGAATCCAAGATTTGGAAAACACACACATATACATAGGTGAATTACAAGCCAGGGAAACAAGACATCCTTGATGAATAAAAACAATACAAGAAAAGAAAAAGAGCAAGATATCAATCAAACAAAAGGCAATAAAAAGTTACAAGAATTAAATTATCACCCGAACTTTTCCATCATGGTAGCTTATACTTTTACCTATATTGTTGGTTTCTAAATTGGTTGGCATGTGCACTCATAAGAAACTCAATATTAGCAAAGGAAACAAATCAATGATTCACAAATGATGGAAGTATCAACAAGTTTCTTGATGAAGTATTGGTCCATTCCATCCCTGTATTCACTGTTTCTCAGTGGCCTATTAAAAGGAATAAAATTTTTGCTATGACTGGGTCTCTAATTGAAGGCATAAAGAACATAAAATTAATGTGGACTGTCTGGCCAAGACACCGCCTGCTCTGACAGTCTTCTATTCAATTTAATCACAATTAATGTAAACGTATTACACAAACATCAGTGTCGGCCCAAAAGGGCAGTCACAAGACGCCATCCTAAAGGTGGATGGTACCTAACCATTTCAAAACATCAGCACACACATTATCCTTGAACATCACCAGCTCTATGAAATTTATTAAAGCAATGTTGTGTTGTTATTTTCTTGGATGTCGGATTTCCTCTACTCTCCTTGATGGAGTAAGCATACTAATATCATCATCCATTCCTTTATCTTGTACACACAGGGTCAGCCATATGGATTCTCCTTTTCCATTCCTTTCTATCATAAGCCATATCTCCTACTAGATTTAATTTTGTAAAATCATTTCTTATCAGTTTATTCCATGTTAGTTTAGGTCAACCTCTTTCTCTCTTACCTTCTATGCAAATCAATCTTCCTCTCTCCACGGATGCATCTATAGGTCTGCGTTAGATATGCCCATACCATCTAAGTCCAGTCTCTCTTATTTTCTTGCTAATAGGCGCCACGACTAATTTCTCCTTAACCCTTTAATTAATAAATCTTATTTTTCCTACTTTTTCCTACTTTTTCCTAATATATTACAAATTTGTGTGTCCTCTGTCATGTCATTGTTAGACCCCCTGATTGTGTTGCACCATAACTACCCCTTGATTTGGATTACCAACAAGCAATTGTTAGAGCTGAAGTGTTGAACACCCTCCACGAAGGCGAAGGAATCGCGATGCATAACAAATGCAAATTAGCAAACATAAGCTATCACATTAGTGAAAAAGGGCAAGTGAACATACTCTTCTGAGGTTGTAAATGAGCCTTTCCTCATCAGTCATCAACTTCTTCCTCAATTTCTTTGCCCGCCGAATCTCCCTTAGGGTTTTTCCGGACTCTTTCCGCATCCGGCTCTCCACCTTGCTTCTCATGCTCCTCCCCTTCGACGTCGACATCGCCCGAGACCCATCGAAGCAATTCAAGAATTTTATTGGGGAAAAAGAGACATCTTCTATTGTCAAACTTGACTGAATCACATTGCTAGAAATGATTTTCGTCGAATTATCTCTTAATAACATAACATTTCTGAAATTTTATCAACAAACCCCAAATCAGGTTCCACAAAATAAGGGATGAATTGAATAAAACATATACATATATATAGAAAAACATACAATTGTTTGGTAGAGAGAGAGAGAGAAAATACTTGGAGGGATTGGTGAGGATGAGAGAAGAGATGGTCTTGAAGCAATTCCTTTGAAGGCTCCTTGCTGCGAACATTGTAATACCACACTCTCTCTATATACACACACATATATATATCTATGTGTGAGCTTTCCTTGGATAGTAATTCATCAAACGAGTCGTCGATTATGTCTGGTCGGGGTTTTCAGGGTTTTAGGTTCGGTCGGCGAGCGGGTTTTTCCACTGGTACCAAAATTTACTTGCTTTACAGTTCGTTTCAATGGGAATGAAGATGAAATTACCACAATACCTTTCAGCTTTTATATGTTGACGATTCAGTCTGTCTCTTTTTGTAAGTATTATTAAATATTTAATAATCTAATACGGAGTATTTCGAATCAGTGTTGAAAATTTAATAAATTTAACTTTTATTGATTTTTAACAAAATCCTATTAAATTATTAATTTTATGATAGAAAAAATAGAGCATACAATTTTGTGATAATTCTCGCATTTAATGTTTTAAAAATTACATTTTCAACAAGATGTAAGAATTAAGAAACACAGAGATTAATAAAAGTCCATTAAGGCTCCGACATAAAATATTCTTTTTGAAAAATATTAACTCAATCTCAACCTCGACCTAAACCTTTATCAAACACCGACAAAATAAAAATAAAAGAATATTTTCTAAAAAATATTTTACATTCAAACAAATAGAGCATAAATGTATAAAATTTTCATTCTAAACACGAGTTCATCATGAACTCTAACTCAATTAATACAATTAAAACAAGTTTGAATTAGGCTTAAATTGATCGAATTTGGTTGACTAGAATTTTCTAAGGAAATCGAATCCTCTCATATACCGCAGAATGCCCTCAGCTAACGCAAAAATTTTATATTTTTTACACAATTTTTTAAAATCACTTGCCCAACTTTACATCACTGGTTCGTAAACAATGTATTATATTACGTAACTCTGTATTGTGTTGTGTAAACGGCACAAGAGGTGATCCTGATTCGTCACTAGAGCAGTGACAAGACAACAATGTAATCCAGTGCAATGAGCATCCAGATTGAGATCCTTTGACCACGATACATCAATCATTCAACAAAACTTTCGTTGAATAATTGGAAATATCTAAAACTTAATTGAGCTTTCAATTTGGCTCCAAAATGAAGAGCAATAGACTATTGCTGCAGAAAAGGGGTTACAGTTTTAAATATACTACACAATCAAGTTTCCATGCAACACAGTACAATAAATAGAGATATGAATAAAAGTGCATGATGGAAAGCAAAGGTGACAACAACAATAAGATCAACATTTAATAAAAATTCACATTTTTTGGGGGGTTTGATATATGTACTGCGTTTACATGTCCCATGTATACTGGCTGAAATAAACAGATCAACATCACAATAATCAACAAAAGGATTTGGCCACCTAAATGGTGGTTGAATTAAGTTGACAGAGAGGCCAAAACGAAAACAAAAAATCAAAAGTGGAGTCATTTCTGCTTTATAGTCATGTCTGGTCAGTTGCTAAACTCCATGGCCTCATATGCCTTGACGCATTGTAGGACTTAAAACAAACTTGCCGAAAACATTGGAAAAGGGGGGAAGTCCCAGTGTCCCCCGAAGCAGCGGCCCTTCTCCATTGAAGTATGACCTTGTGGAAAGAAAAGAACAGCAGCTCACCTCAGGGATGATGCAAAATTGGGGTTCCATTGCCATAGTTGGATGTTTTAGTTCAAACAATGAACTCTCTATAACCGGTCTAACCAACCAAAAACACTGTCTTGAGAACCGAACTGCAAATCCTGCAAAGCATAGATGAGGGGTTGAATATATCGAGTTTGTGAAGCAAATAAACTATTGAGGAGGGGCAGAATGTGAAGCTTACCGCAAGCTCGAAATCTGGAGGAGTATCCAGTTCTAAGTTCTCAAGATCAGCCATCCCACAAGTTGTGTTCCTATCTGCTCCAAGAACATCATTGGTGTTGGTGAAAGGGCCATGATTCAGCACTGGATCATTAAGAGTAGAATAAGAATTGAAAATCTCATTGCATAACAATGAATCATTGATGTCATTGGTATCGATAGCTTGTGACTCGCCAGCTAACCAATTGTCCATATTATCCTCAAATTGAGCAATAGATGGAGGAGATTTCTCCACAATAAACTTTGCTTCCTAATCCACATAAAGTGACATCAGTTACCATAACATCGAGCAAAATATTATAAACATTACAAAATGAAGAAATTCCTGCTTTTGGAGTGACTTTCTGGCAGAATTAAAGATGAGTGTATCTGTTTATCCTAAGCTTATATTCAATAACATCCTTCAGAAAATAAACCAATGTCATCTATGAAATCATTTTGAGATGGCAATACATCCTCTTCTCACTCTTCCTTGTTTTCATTTCATGGCAGAGTTCTTTTTCAAACATTGATTTTTTTTTTTTTTTTGTTAAATGTTTAAAGAAGAGAAAATGATCTGTGTCGAGGGATACAGAGACAAGGCAATTTTTGTTTTCTAAGTGAATTCTATATGTGATACAAGAAGCCTTTGTTATAGTTACTGTATGGGAAGAAACATATTGAATATAAAAGGCAAAGTATAACTAATAAACGTCTTCCTTGACACAAAAGCATGATATAAGACTACTAAACTTTGTTATATAAATAAAGATAGACTCCTCTGTTAATGTCCAGATGAGTATAGCGCATGGGTGGACACAAGTGTCTGATATTATCAATTTTTTATAGGAGAACTGTGCTGAATATGATATCAAAGGGTAAGGTGCCATAGAGGCTGTCTCTACCGATCATCTCAATAAATTATCACAGAGGACTTTGGAATTGTTAAACAACATACAATGAATGTCACTACCAAGTACGAACCTGTGCAGATGACGAGGATACATAATCATCTGTTATATCATCGCATGAAACAGATTTTCCTGGACGTGGAGGGTTGGGAGTGTTCGTCTTTGGAGTCCTGGGACTTGTTCGAATCATCCCCAGATCAGATTCTTCAACCATGGGAGAATTATCATTTTTATCGGTCTGCTTCTGCTGCTGATAGAAAATTTTCGAAACCACATACTGGCCTTCATTTTCATGTTCATAAGTCCCCAGATGATATTGATGCATAACCCAATTAGACTTATCAGGTTTCAAGCCCTTTGTTGTAGTTTTATACAGAACCATAATCTTCTTACAACCCTTCTGAACTCCATTTTCCACAACAGGCTTGGTCTTACCTGTCTTATGCCAGCGGACTTGCTCCTTTGCCGAACTATGTTCACTATGAATCTTGCGGCGCTTCCGTGGACCAGTAGCATATGCATTGGTAGTTCTGTGAAAAAAATGAATATTGCTTCCATCTTTTTTGGAACCTAAGACAAAAACATTATGACGATTCAAACAAAAATTGATCAACTCCATAACTCTATAAGTCTCTACTTATTGAACAGTCTTGATTCACAACCCAAAACATATTTCAGTCTCTACTTATTATGACTATTCAAACAAAAATTGATCAACTCCATAACTCTATAAGTCTCTACTTATTGAACAGCTTTGATTCACAACCCAAAACATATTTCAGTGATGAAAACTGATGTTAGACACTCTTTTCCAATGATAAATAATCTTTTCCAGCTTTACCAGGTGAGATTTTATCGTACATTAATGTTAGAGGATATAGATAATAAAGTTACACCCAATCTAATAGCTTAAACTTTTAGAGTAGATGGTAGTTGACAATTAAACATGAGCAGGGTAATCAAACAAGGAGCTTAAAACCCCATGACCGAAATGGACTGCCCAAATTAAATTCTTGTGCGAAAGATGTTGTTTCTCCCAAATGAAGCAAGACTTATTGCAAAGCCATTTCTCCAACATAAAAGAACAGACGTGCTTGAATCAGTTCCCTTCTAGTGTTTCAATATTAAAAAGATAATACTCTGTTTTTTTTTTTTTTTCTCCCTTGGGATATTCAAATCACTTTGTACTTATGTTTGGTCATCATCAAGTAGGTCATAATAAAGAATTTAAAGTCTTCATTAGAATTCATTTAATCAACTGACATCATCACATCCTTGAGTCAGTTTATTAGTGTTGAATTACTGATAATGAAAAACCATATGCAAAAATCTAGGGATTGCGAGTGAGCTCACCAGGAAGATTTTCAGGATGGGTGTAGCAAATTCCTTGTTCATTATCAATTGTTGGGATGAATTCATCAATAAACATGTGAGATTTTGAATTTTCCAATCCACATTTTGCTGCTAAATGTTCTAAAAGCTCTATATCAGATGGATCAAATTTTACACCAGCAGGCAAGCCAGGCCATTCATGAGACACCTGCACAGAGAAGCATCATAAAAGACAATATTAAGAGTAAAGGTTCCATGGGAAACACCATTCTGCATGACTTCAAATGAAATAAGGGTACAAATAATAAAAAATAAAAAGGAAAAAGAAAAAAAGAACTAAAAATGCAGTTATTCATCATCAGTTGCAGAGAGAGCAAGTTGATACTGGAAAGATAATAAGGTGTGGCAATAAGTTGATTATGTTAACATGCCGCGATTATTGTCATGTGTGGTTTTAAATAGTAGTACTGATTATGTCACTAGTCTACAGAAATTTCGTTATCGTCTCACTTTGCAACACCCTAAAATGGTGTACAACTCCACAAGAAAACATAATTTATCCAAGAAAATATTAATGCATTGGCATAAAAGTAGCTAATTATGTAAACTCGCAGAACAGTCCATCTTACATCACTGTTATCAATAGAGTAATGGCACTTCGGACATTCACGATTTGCCCCACAATCTTTGATTTGATATGCAGAAGATACACCGGCACTTTTCACTTTTCTTGCAAGTCCTCTGCTGTCAATAAGCCAACTCCTGCATTGATATATGCAAAGCCAAAATTAATTACCAGAAAATTTTGTCACGTCGAAGAAGAACAAGCATAACAAAAACTCACAAAATGATACAGAACACCAGAAAGAATTAAACAGAAGAGGAAGTAGATTATGCCATTAAGCAGAAAAGAAATTACATTGCAGAACAAAGCCAAGCATGATTGACAAGTTAGATCTTACCAATAGTCAAATACTACCACACTCTATATCCAATTTAGACGGCCAATATAATTAGAACCTTTGAGACATCAATCAAATGAATGATCAACTATCAAATTCAAATGAATGCTCATTGCTTGACGCAAATTAGGCAAATACAGAGGCAAAATTTACCCTTAGATTATAATTGTTTAGCATAATGTGACCTCTAAGTAATAATCACAATACATTAACAATTACGAAGCCTTCCAACCCTATCAGCCAACTGCCCATATTGGCATTTACACAACTGAAATTCATTTGCAGAAAAAAAATAAAGAAAAGGCCACAATGGGTTGGGTTGTCTCAGATATACCACCATAAGTCTATAAGCTAATTAATGTATTTAAAAGGCAAATTAAAAAACTCGAATTAAAAATACTTTTCCAAAAAAAAAAAAAAAAAAAAAAAAAACCCTCGAATTAATGGAATGTTGCCATCAACCATAGCAAACAAAGATTTAATTCCCTCCATACCAGCATTTCCCCAAATTGGTAACTACTGAAAAATATTAAATTAATCCATAAAATCCTCATCGTACAAAAAAATGTTCTGTTGCTCAATAGATTTCAGAGAACACAACCGAAGAAAAATATCTGCAAAATCGCAGAAAAATGAAAAAAAAAAAAAAAAAAAAAAAAGGGCCTTAATACTGATCACTGCAGAGTTTATAAGAGTCGGGTATGTGAAAGGTGCTGATTTGGGTACCTCTTAACCAAGCAAGAAAATCATCCAATCAAATGGGTATTTTTATTTTTATTTTTATTTTATTATTATCAATTTTTTGGTTATCAATCAAATGGGTATTCTTTATTTTTATTTTATTATTATCAATTTTTTGGTAATCAATCAAGTGGGTGTTTTTGTTTGTCCATATGGGTTTCCAATCAGACCCAAAATAAACACAAAACAAAAACAGAAAAAATATGGATCTTCTGCGATTGAAAGTATGATGTCGAAGATTTTGATCTTTGAGCTGAAAATACCCAAATCGAAATAGAAACAACAGAAACAATCTGGTTAAATCGATTTCTAAAAACAGAAACATGTTTACCTTGCCATTTTCTGCAATCGCGAGTGTTTTCAGAGACCCAACACATTTAGAGAGAGACAGAGATGAAGAGCTGCTTAGTGTGTCCCAGACACTTTCCTCTTTCTACACTGAGCTAAGTTATGTGAGAGAGTAGAGAGAGAGTGTTAGATAGAGAGAGGGATAGGCGGGAAAACATAGGCTTGAGGACGTTATGAGAGGCTCGGTTACCGAGCCTTAGGTTAGGAAGAGCATATTCAGTGTTCGATGACCCGAGCGAGAGGTTCGGAGTGACCCACCGTTGACCGAGCCTAATTGCGAAATTGGAACTAATGTTTCTTCGAAAATCGAGGTGTTTTGGTGGGGTCGTGGCTACCTTGCTCCCCAAGCTTGAAGTGGAAACGACTTCAAATGACATATTTGCCACTGGGTTTTTGATGAAATAACGTTGGTTTACCTTACCTTTTGACTGTTTTTTACTCGGTGAAGTGTACGTGTTGCAAACCGTAAATGGGAAACAAAGAAAAAAGAGAGACGGAGTTAAATCATCGTAATTATTACACACATATGTATAGTACTGTATATGTATATACTACAGTATATCTATATGTGTGTATAGGCAGATAGATTGCAGAGAATCCATGAGAGGACACGTGTAATTCAAATTGTCACCCACGTTTCTGTGTACAAATTTAGACAAAAATGAAACTATGACAAATTTTATTTTTTTTAAACCTTTTCTGATCGTCAATGCATGATTGGTTTGATTTTTTTATTAAAACTTTCTATTATCAGTAAAATGAAAAATAGAAAAAAAATATTTTTTTTAATAACTAAGTTACAAGAAAAAAATAATAATTTCATTTAAAAATATCTGCACTAATCTGAAAACTAATTCCAAATTTTAAGGGATTATGAAGTTTCTTTTTGAGGTTTTGGTAGGAAAAAAACAAATAAAAATATTTTATTTTAATGAATCATATGTCAATTGATAATATCATATCATTAGTATAACATGAACAATAAATTTTTTTTCTTGTAATTCAACCATTGTTATAAAATTATCAATAAAAAAATTAAGCAAATAGAAGCAAAAGATTGTGTGAATTTCTTATTAAAGAAAAAGATAAATTACAGTGTGACGTAAATTTCTAAAGCAATGTCAATAAATTGGTAAAATTGATATTAGTACAAAATGTACCAATTATAAATATCGGAGTGATGATAAAATTTGAATTTGGGACGTGACATTCTCTAATCAATAAATCCCAAATACAAAATGAATTTGGGTTTTCTATAAATTAAGATGCAAGTATCCCACTAGCCATAAGTGAGGGCCTTCAAGCTCTTGCACCTCAGAGAGAAGGGAGATCATAATCATAAAATAGAGTTTTGGTTGTCCCTTCATGACTTCTTCTTCCTCCCAGAGCTTGTTTGGCTGAAAGATTGAATCTTTCTCTCCCAGAGCTTGTTTGGCTGAAAGATTGAATCTTTCTGACCATGAATGTGACACTTGCGAAAGTGTTAGAAGTTCCTGTTCCTAAGAGAATCTTAAGATTGGGTATACAGCACCATCCAACAATTTAAGTCCAGATGACAATAGTGCTTTTGGGAGGGTTTTCTCTTTTCACCAGCGCATGAGGTGGCTTTCTCATTTTCAACCAATAAAGCATAAAATATCTACTCTGCTGAACCAATAAAGTATTCAATAACTACAGTGATGAGTTCATCAAAAGTTTTCAACTATATGTTGGGTGTTATATTGAAGTTCAATACAAACACAATCAATTTGAGAATCCAACACTTGATATAATTAATTATATTACAATCACTAGAGAAATCTTAAGTGAATGGTTGGTGGGTCTCATTTGCATTAAGTTGAATACATTCAATTCTACTACATCAGGAGATTCTTACATTGAATGGAGCAAAGGCCATTGGATGGACCTTACTATACAGCTACAATGCATCACAGCAACCCCAACTCCAAAACCCTAAACAGCCCTTTGCATAACATGCAACTTCAGCAGTTAAAACTTAAAAGGCTTCCTATGACAGCTAAACTTATGAATCTCAATATTTTTGACATCTTTTTAGTATGAAAATATGTGTAATGTTTGAGACTATTGTTCATTGAGCTCCATTTACGACACTGATTTTCGAATACCGGTACCTCTGGACTCTGGAGGAGATACTGTCCCTTCAGGGGATCAGTAGCACTGGTTAAAGCAGAAGAAGAAGCCTCTTGGCTTGTTTTCCAAGTGGGTTGTCGGGGTCTGCGCAGAGTCATCTCTTGCCGCCATCAAGGAACTTGTACCAGGAGACTCCGGTGGCAAGACCACATTCTTGGAAGCGAAAACCTGATGTGGGATAACGGGTTCTGGTGGTGAAATCGTTGAAAGATAATGCAGAAGCATCTGTATGATTTGGCTGAAGTTCGGACGGTCGTTTGGATCCTCCTTCCAACAAGAAGTCACAATTAAAGCCATATCCTCTGGCAGGTCATCAGCACTAGGCCTCATGTTCTGAAACAACAATTTACAAACTTCACATCATTTTTTGATTTTTTTAATACCTCACTTCAAATCATGGTTGACCACAGTTTGAGACGCCAATCAAATGAGCTCACTGTCAAACTCATCAGATTCTTTCAGACAATTGTCAAGTGAAAAATGTTGATAATGTCGAATTTTGACAAAACAAAGAAAAATGAAAAAAAAAAATGACTTTGCCCATATGTTCATGATTCTCAGATGTGTTTGTAAGCAACTTCAAGAAAGAATGACTTCTAATAACCTCAACCATAGGGTTGCATAAAGTTCTTAGGCAACTCATCAGCCCAATTATCGTCATGAACCACTAGAAATCATTCTTCCTTGATATGGCTACTAAAAACCCCTAACAGTGCTGACCAAAACTAATATGATACGAAAAATAAAATTGACAAGGAAGAGAGGAAATACTTTAAAAGCCGCTGCGTACGCTGCTTGCAGATTTGACATGCCTTCAAAGGGTAACTTGTTATGTATGAGCTCCCACAAAACAATAGCAAAGCTGTATGCATCCACCTTGTTATTATAATGCTTCTTCTCTCCGTGTCTCAACGTGACCGTGCTGTAAAGCTGCATCCAAATACAAAGGGCAAACAACTAATATTTCAATTGCACATCTTGCCACTCAAATAATAATTGAAAAAAGAAAATATATATATATATATATATATATATATATATATATATATATATAGAAGAATAGAAGGCTCTGACCCATTCAGTAATGTACCTCTGGAGCCATCCAGCGATAGGTTCCTGTTTCGGCAGTCATCATCTCTGTTAATGACTCCTCTCTTGCCAAACCAAAATCCGCGAGTTTGACGGTTTTGTGGTCTGCTGTCAAGAGCAGGTTCTCTGCCAAAAAAGCAAACTCAAAGATAATCAACATTTTTGTTACAAGTGGCTCCTGAAAATAGAAGGACGTCAACAGGGAGAAAATGAAGTATAATTCTAACAACATTATGGCAAATGGTAAGCAGGTAGAACAAGTTAATAGAAGAAAAGCAATATGCTAAATCAAAATATCTATGGACTATTATACAAAAAAAGAAACAAATCAATAACACTAAAATCAACTCCTACTCTTTACAAAGTGCTTCCAAAATGCCCAACATTGCAGGAAATGTAAAAGCTGATTGGGAAAGTTGAACGTCCACCGCCAGTTTTCAATAGGTGCATAGATCCAGTTAACCTCTTAAAAGTCTTTTTGCCATAAGGCCACAGAAATCTTTACAAAATGTGCTCAAAAGCAAAATGATATAGTCAAGTAACAGACTGGGAAATAAGACTTCTGAGAAAACCAAGGAAGCAATTTGATGATCCAAAATCCAATTAAACCACATCATTAGGGAGTCTTGCATTGTGTTAGTGACCGATCTTCATAAATTTATGAATCATATCAAGTATCAATACTTGCACACGTCATAAGATCTACACACACAGTGCATCCTTTCCAAAGAGTTCTTGAATAGGGATGCTTTGCAGGTGTATTAGTGCTGATTATATCATGTTCTCAAATAGCCTCAACCAGTTTTCTGAAACAGCTACAACTAAAGACCTTCTAAAGGATAAGGTGTTCCCACAAGCCATAATATTACAGAAAATATAAAAGCTTTCACCCATAAGCTATGATAGCCAAAACTGGGAAATATTCTTCAAAATCCAAGTCATGATAGCATATCCCAATCAGAATCCAGTTCACAAGAAACCTTTCCATTTTGAATCTATTGCTTTATCAAAGTGATCGAATTAATTTCTTAACAGTGTTGACCATTGACAACTCTATTTTTTCAAGTTTTACAAATGCTCTTGCTCTATTTAATTTCAAGTCTTAACAGCGCCACAAAACAAACATGATTTAGGAATAAATGAATAATCAGGCTTCTGGAAAGCTAAGTCCCTGCATACCAACAATCAAACAAGATACTCTTTTGATAAGTAACAGGAAAAGAGGCTACATCCAATTACATAAACATAGACACTTTTCTGCCCATGGGGAAGTAGAGTTTGAGCTACTCCTGCAGACATGCACATAGATGAATAAGACATCTCATAATTGCATATCGAAGCAAAGAACGATGGTAAATACAAGTAGTGGTTTCCCCTCAATAAATCATCAAATCATAAAACAAATCATGCAATCAAAGATAACATGGATATATTTGAAATATAATAGTATCAAAATGTTATCCTGCCAATGATAAATGAAGAAAAAAAAGGTACGAGTAACAAGTGGTACAAATCAGATTTGAAGATCAATAAAAGTAACATGTCAAAGAACAAGTTTATGAACCTTTGAATACCTAAAGTACAATTGGAAGAAAATAGACTTAACATGCTGCTTGCTAGTCAACTTTCTATTTTTCCTTCTAATTTGTGTGATAAACTCAAGACAAAAAAAAAAAGAAGACTGAAAGTATGCAGCTGAGAGAAAGTGTTTATGTCCATCGAAATTGATGGAATGTTAAGTTCCTTACAAGCTCAACAACAGTTCCTTTTTCAAACTTAATTATATAAATTCAACACTGACAAATAACAATAAAGTAGTACCAGGTTTCAAGTCTCGGTGGATGATCCCATGGGAGTGTAAGCATTCCATTGCACGAGCAATGTCAAGTGCAAACCCAATTGCCAAACGCATATCTAAAAGCCTCGGCCTCGTGTTGAGCAGGTATTTCCGCAATGTTCCACCCAATAGAAGTTCAGTTACTATAACCATGACAGGTTCCTTGCAAGCTCCAATAAACTGTTGTACACAACATCACCATTAGAATCACAGAAATCCCTACTTTGAGAAATTGGACTATTAAGTTCAATTATCCGTAACCTTTGTTGCTCAATATCATTTAAACTAACATTTACATCCTACAATCATAACAAAAGACTATTGCTTTGATTTAAAACAAACAAACCTTCACCAGGTTCTTGTGTTGAACTCTGGATAACATTGCAACCTCCCGTGCAAATCGGGCCTCCCTCTTGGCAATCTCCTCCGGGGTGTCACCTCTATGAACCATTTTAATAGCAACATTCTGATTTTTGTATCTGAAGGACACCCAGTTAAAAACATAATGAGATAACTGCACCATAACCAAACACCATATCTTTCAAATCATCCAATAGGGCATAAATTCGCCATCATTTCAGAATCTGATGCATATTTATCCGAAAACGATATGCACATCAAAATTCTACAAATCAAAATACACTAATCCTCACAGACTAAAGCATAAATTTTCATACCATAAAACAGTTTCAATTTTGATAAGTTCCCCAAAAATTCTTCGAATCAAATGCACCAATCCTCACAAACTAAATCATAAATTTTCATACCATAAAACAGTTCCAATCTTGATAAGCTCCCCAAAATCATCTCCTTTCAACCCCAATTTTTTTAAACCTAAAAAAGGAACAAATATTTTGAAGATCTGAAAAGCTTAAGTGGTACAAAAGTGGAAGCATGGGGTTTTTAATGTATTCCCAAAAATAAAATTAAAAAAAATAAAATAAAACCAAAAAATCTAAAAACTGTTCTTCTTAATCAGTACAAAAATCAGTTAAAAAAAAAAAAGTAAAATAACAAACACAAACTTTTATACAACCAAATTATTTCAAGGATCAAAAATTGGGAAAGGAACAACAACAAAGAAATGGGTTGACTTACTTGCCCTCATACACTTTAGCATGAGCACCTTCTCCAATTCTCGGCCCAACAAACAGAAGTTTTGGATCAATCAACCACTTGGCATCCAAATTGAAACCTTCAACTGAGTAGAGCCCATTTCCAGATGCCATTTTTGTCTCTCTCTCTAGAATCTACTGATGATCTATTACCTTCCAGTGACTAGTAAAAACCAAATCTGTATATATCATGACACATTTGAAGTAAAACCCGTATGGAAAAAATTAAAGAAAACAAGCTCATTCGCATGAACAGAGAAGTATTATAAAGAAGACATGCTCTGTTCTGCTTCCATGGAAGAGACCCATCCCCAAATTCACGCTCTGAGTTGAGCTTCGTTTGGGAGGCAAAGAATAAAACCCCACGTGTTCCAGAGAATACCAGCAACAAACAACAAACTAGTAATAAAATTTGTATTATTTATAAACAAATATTGAAAGGCCAAACAAAGCTCTGCTCAAAAAAGTAAAAACAGAGGAGAGGCAATAAACAATCAAGAGCTAATGTAATTCAAATTTACAGAGAGAGAAAGAGTGAGGAAGATGAGATGGGTGTGGATGTATAGGCTGGTGGGTTGAGTTAATGTAATGGTATTTCACTACGCGTAAGGAACAAACTACTTTGTTGTGTGACTTGATCTGTCCAGATAAAGCCGCGGAAGGAAGGAATTGGGTCTTGTCAGAGACACAGTTGGGTCTCCTCTATAATTTGTTTTACGTCTTTTATTATTCTAATTTCTAACGAGGAATATGTATTATTATTATTTACACATATTGTATAAATAAAATTTAGAGGGACAGTCAAATAGGGGTAGAAAGGGAAAATACCACATGATTATCGTAGATCACAGTTTTTTTATTACAATGAAAACTCAATCATAAAAAAAAAATTATTTTGAAATAATTGTACGAAACACTCATAAAAAAGTAGCTTACAAATATATATATATATATATATATATATAGCAATCATATCCAATAATTAATATTGGATAAGTTTTTTTTGTTCATTAGCGGACAAGAGATAATTTCTATTGTATACATATATACATATATATGAGAAATGAATACAGATATTCTATTATAAAATTTAGTGTTATAGTGATTTTTAATATGATTATATTTATTTTTAACACTTATATATATCTATTGTTCAACCAGATTTAATGTGCTAAAAAAGTAAAACTAGACTATCACATCTATTATAGAAATAAAAATTACTGACTTGAGGGATCAAGTCTTTTTAAAAATTTGCGAAAGTTGTTTTACTAAGAAAAAAATAAAAATTATACAAATAACAATCCCTATTATGTGTACATGTGTGTCTATTACATAATGTAAAGTTGTAATATGGGTTAAATAAAGATATTCAATGTGCACATGGTAATGGATCTCAAGTTGAGGACAACATCACTCAGCAATAAGAGTTACAAACAATAATAGATGATGATGGGACTACCTTTCGTTTTTTGATCTTTTAGACCTCTTGTGGACACTGCCAGTTACCAAATTAACCCTGGATTTTTTTTTAGTACTATTTTACTTTACCTTTTTAATAAAATAAAATAAAATTTGGTGAATTTCTTTTTTTTTTTTGGAATATATACATATTATGATTTGTCATTTTGATGAATATGTGATATATTATTAATTTGATATTTTTACATATCTTCTTGAATTAATTTACATCGATATTCGTTTGAATTCGTTGCACGGTGAAATTAGCTAGACAAATTATTCCGCTAACTAAGAACGACAGTGTACCACCACCTGTAGAATCAAGAAAGAACTTTCTGTCAGTCTTTACCCAGCGTGCACCCAATTGCGATATATTTATATAAATCCTATTAGGTACCATTAATTTGGTCACGTGAATTATTATTGATAGAACTTTGATTCTATCGGGGTAATGGTATGTGGTTGAATTAAATCACAAAACCAATAATTTGTGTCTATAATACAACATCTAAACCGTACTCTTTGTCCCACCGTACACATTAAAGATGAGACTTGAGAGGAGGAGGTTTAATAAGTCCGATCAATCATAGATTCCTCAATTATTAAATCAATCCACACACCAAAAAATTTGTCCACAAAGTTATATTCATGAGCTTCTTTGTCTAAGATATTATAACCTCTTCTTTACTTCATTTATTTACTTTTTTTCAATGGAACAAATTCTGTCTCTACCAATTAATATGTTACTTCCATATTTGATTTTTTTTTTTTTAGGTACAATTATTTTGTTTAGGAATAAAAAAAAAAATTGGGTGGGCAAGAATGAGGACTCTGGATCATTTTTATTTTTATTTTTATTTATTAAAAAACACTCACTATGTCAAAACTGGATAGGCATTCTTTCCAGTGGAGGAGAAATCATACACAAAATCCAATGATTGAGATTGCATCATCACTAATGAGTCTCATTTATCAATTTAATCTCAATCACTGAATTCTGTATAAGACCTCTTATGCACTGGAGATGATCCTTATCCGTCAAAACTAATATTAAGTGTTAATTTTATCTCAAATGTTAGACAAATTTAGGAATGGGAAGTGAAATGGTATGTATGGATTACGTGTTAGCTCCACTCAATAGCTTAAGTTTTTGGATTAAATCGCAAAGCACTCCACCCGTTACATTTAATATCAAAACCAAACTTAGTCTTTGATTCGATATCACGTCGAAAGGTGTTTGGTACCCCAACCGAATATGCAGGGTGGCTCGAGCCTCAACGAGGGAATTGCGAATTCGACTGAGAAGATGTTAGAAATTTATTTCACGTTGGATCGAGATGAGAAGTGAAATGAGTTGAGTTTTAGCTGTATCCAATAACTTAAGTTTTTGAAATAAATCGTAAAACACCTGACCTATTACATATTTTTATAATATATTTCAAAGCAGTGAGTTTTGACTTTGAGTTTGGACTCCACAAAAGTCCTTAGAATTTCAACTCCACAGCACGGCGGTACAAAATGGATGTCTGTGTTTGCATAGAACTTTGTCTCATACCCCTATCGCTAGTGAAATTATTGCCCATAATTTATACAGTTCATAAATTCATAATCCATCTCAAGGTTAATTAATGCATACAAGCAAAATGCTAGTTATGGTTCCAAATGGATATGTCAGCCATAAATACAAAGCTTTGATTATATGTTCTAGATAGTTTAATTTCTTTTATTATTCAATAGTCATTGAGATAAGATGAACAAGAAAGAGCACAAGAAAAAGGCAAAATATATATATATATATAATAATCAAAAAATTCATTCAATATGATTATAAAAAGACAAAAACGAAAAAAAAAAAAACCTTAAGAGCCCACGACAAATTTATGATGATGGTATGGAATTATTGCCCACAATTTATAGCTCCCATAATCCATCTCAAATCACAAGTAAACAAAAATGCATTAATTTTCATTGCTTGCATGGTTAATGCATGCATATAAAATATTATATGATATATGGTTGCAAATGAATATGTCGGCCTCAATTTCAAAGCTTTGATTGTGTTGGTGACTGTTTAATTCCTATTATCATTCAATAGAACTTAGCTATTAGTACTTGTACATTGATTTGTGACATCTTTTATATATAGTCCAAAAATTAATTAATTCAATATTGTTATAAAAATGCCCATTTGGTGTTGAAAAAAATTAGCAAATCAAAATGGGGATTTGTCGCAGTTGTGATTTAGACAGATGAGGTCATGACTTGTCGGTGGCCAATGGGCAATCCCCATATAGTCTCAAATTCAATCCTCAAAACTTGAAAAGTAAAAAAAAAAAAAAAACACACACACACACATGTAATGCGGTATGTATGTATCTAAAGTCGTCTGTTTTCTTGTGAATTGTTTGGACTTTTTTGGAGGTGGACTTGTGAGGTAGTCGGTGGGCTTGCCATCCAGTGTTGACCTTCTTATTCCAACTGATTCCCCACGTTGGTTGGTTTGAAATTGGTGAACCGGACTTTGCCCTTAAGTCTAATTCAACTTCCTAGCAATTCTATAATGTAAGAGTTGGTTGATTTTTAAATATATACTACATTTGTTCTATATATATTGCAGCGTAACTTCATTCATTCAAATATTATTTAAATACGTTACAACTAAAGATATCAAACACAATAAAAATGTATTTTAACACATTTAGATATATTAAAATTTTGTATATATATAGATCCTAAAACTAAAGACAATCTTTATTAATGTTTTGACAATCTTTGTTTAACTTCAATTGAATACAATTAAAATGTATTTCAACACATTTAAATATGTTTTGAATATTTGTAACAGCAGATGGCGCTACAACAAAGGATGTGAGCCACCATATGAATATATATATATATATTATATACACACACATACAAATTAGAAAACTAAAGACGATCATTATTAATGATTTGACATTATTAATTTAAGTTCAATGGAGTAGGATTACGTAATGGCCTTGCATCATTGGGCTTGAGCAATTCTAATTTCACATGTTACATCCTTCTCTCTCTTATATATATATATATATATATATATATATATATATATAGTAGATTTCAATTGCTCCCTGTGAATAAGAAATTATATACTCACTTTTAATTGTAACCTTAGAATCTAATCCTACGGCATTTACTTAATTCACTTTTATTTTCTTCATTTTAAAAAACTTACATTTTCTTACCATATTCTTTCAATACCTTTTAAAAAAAAAAAAAATCAGTAAAAAAACACTTTCCCATCACTACCAATTGTTTATTCAACAAATTTGCAAGCAACAATAAAAACTAAAAAAAGTTAATCAAAAGAGATAAATAAAATGGTCATTAAATAAAGATTGTTTGAGACGTATTGATTATAATCAAAACTCAAATTTTAAGATTAATCCATATTTTATACTCAGCTTAGTAAAATATTTTGAATTTGTTCAGCAACTAATTTAGAATTAGGATACTACTATTGACTTCATAAATTTTTTAGAAAAATCATGCAAAACAACTCTTAATATATTATTATATATCCATCTAAATGTTCTCAGTGTTTATTTATTTATTTATTATTTTTTTTTCATATTTTTTGGTAAATTAAATATTCAAGTGTTGATCAATAAAAGCATGGCAAAATATGTATAATATCATTACAAATCCTAAGCTTTTTCATAATTTATCAATAGAATTGATAAAGTATGGAAAAAAAATAAAAATGATGACTTTTAATTTTAAATTAATTTTCCTTCGCCTTAGTGGCTGCTTGCGAATTTGGCAAAAAGTAGCCAAATTATTTTATTCTTATTTCCTTTAATAAATTATTATATATCCAACTAAATGTTCTCAGTGTTTTTTTATTTTTTGGTAAATTAAATATTCAAAGTGTTGATCGGTAAAAGCATGCCAAAATATGTATAATATCATTACAAATCCTAAGCTTTTTTATAATTTATCAATAGAATTGATAAAGTACGGAAAAAAACTAAAAATGATGACTTTTAATTTTAGATTAATTTTCCTTCGTCTTAGTGGCTGCTTGCGAATTTGGCAAAAAATAGCCAAATTATTTTATTCTTATTTCCTTTAATAAATTGTATAATTATGTCATTTTTCTTTTACGATATTTAATAGTATGAAAAGAAAATGTAAGTTTCTTAAAATAAATATAATAAAAGTAAATTAACTAATAGCCATAAGATCAGATCGTAA